TTCCCCATTCTCCACTTCCTGAGGGGCCCCTTTTAAAGTCTGTCTAACTAGCTTCCTCATTTTAGTGTAGTCTCCCTTGTTAAAGTTAAAGGGGACTTTTGGTGGGCTTTTAAAGTTAAAGGGGGATATAGTTAAAGGCAACTCTCCACCTGGGGCAGCATTGTGGTAGCTATTTTTGCACCCCATCCCTCCCACAAAGGTGGCACACAGGGCTGCTGCCCTGGTCATTTCCCACCTCTTTTATGCTACTAGGGCTCCCCATGTGGCGGGGGAATGATAGCAGTGTTAATTGTCATGGCTCTAGTAGCAATTAATGTCTCTACTGCTCCCTCATTGCCAAATTTACACACCCATGAAGATCCTATGGGTCAGGCGACACAGCTGCATGTTGAGCATCACTGGTCCAGAACTTTTTCCCCCAGTGAAAGCACTGCATGTTTAGCTAGGTCCATTGTGGAGACATTCCTCAGAAGTGTTAGCTACCAAAAGGTGGAGTTCTTCATCTACAAAAGGCATTACATCATTAAGGCCTGCTTGGCCTCTCCAATGAACCAGGAATATTAGGATGACAAGAACTGATGGGAACACCTACATTCTCCCCAGTGTGTCTCACTTGCAGGGTCCACATAGAAATTATTTATGAAATGAATCAGAGACTGTTCCGTGAAAATTGAATGTTGGTAACCTTAGTTAAGATATTTTACTATACAAATGGAAAGCATTTAAGACCACAAAGGGACATCCCAGCTGGACAGACTGCTGCCACAGAGTAGACATGCCCTAAATTGTTAAAAGATAAATAATGATTCATAATCTTGAAAGATGGGTGCAAGAATATCCTTGAAGTACTTGGGAAATACCCTTTTTGGCCTTGGTCTCTGGGGGACAAGATATGAGTTTGGGAATTTGTCTCAGGGAGCTTATAAATTCCAGTTTGATTTCTGTGCATCCTTGAATCATATCTCTAGTGTTTAGGAGGGACTATGCGGCCTGGAATGGCAGGGAAATTAAGGTCTATTGACAACAGAATAACATTAACCTAGCAAATTAACAGAGACTTCCTGAAAGAACTACTGGTTTGTTAATCAGCTATCAGTTCCACCAAATGATCTGAGAGAAGCAGGGGTGAACCGATGATTGCAGCTTGGCTGAAGCATGAAGTGTCATGACAGAATTCATGACTAAATATGTGTTTGTAAGCACAGATGACCAGAATATAAATCTTGCCAAGAGGGAAGATGTAACAAAAGACTCCTGTACTCCCTGGAAGATAGCGATTATGATCTAACATACTTTCTAGTGTCAGTGCCATGTGAGCAGCAAGACCTGGAGGCCAATCCCTGGATTGGGATAAAAGCCAGAGTTAGAAAAGGTAAGCAGAGGGCAAAGGATGAGCTGGATCAAGAAGCCAGAAAGTCAAGAGGTGAGCAAGGTCCATAGGCAATCTGATTCAGGAAACCAGGAGACCAAGAGAGCAAAGTCTACGAGCAAGCCAAGTAAGGGACTAAGGAGGTCAAGAAGCAAAGCATGTTTACCAGATGCAGTCTAGAATCCAGAAGAGCCTGGTTGCCCAGACACTTCCTGCTCATCTGCATTGTCTTATATATATGGGTCTAACCCAACTCAAGGAGGCAGCCAGCTGATTTTGCAGGCAGATCATGGGGCTGGCTGTCCTTTTCAAGGGCTTACTGTGGCCAGGGAATCCCCATGCCTCTGACTGGCCAAGGGGCCCCGATGACCCTGCTTTCCACTGTTGACTGATAGAAAGGTCTGTATGTCATATGGCCCTACCCCTCACCAATGGTTGCTGGAGAGGGGTGGGTCACGACACCAGCAAGGGGCGGGGGCAACAGTCATCTTGCCTGCTCATCTTTTTGCTGGCATCTTCCCTCCATCCTTCCCCCAGGCAGGCTATGCAGCCTGGAAGGCTGCTGGCTCCCACTGGGGAGCCTGCATTTTATTTTTTAGTAAGTTTTTTTTTTTTCCCCCTGCATGGATTTTGCAGACATCACCTGATTTCCTCAAAATCCACACAATCGTGATTTGGTAGGTCCATACGTAAATGGAAGTGTACAATTAGGTGACAGGAGCTAGCCACTCAGATATCTAGGAGTTGGCAGAGACTCTGGCACTGATGCGGGCTGTAGGCAGGCCTCATCCAACCTTTGAAAACAGTAGCAGCTTGGCAGGTTGATACAGATAGCTCTGTTGGTCAGGCAACGGCTCTGGGTTCAAGGCTGCAGACCTGATATCTAGATCCACAAAGGTCACAAAACTGATACAGGATCTTTCATGCAAATATTTGGTATTTCTCTGTACAGCTCTCATTATTTCTTTATAAATAATATGTGTGTATGTCTTTAAAGAGTCTACATATTCCTTGCTTATGCTGTCACACAGTCCCTGAAGAGTGAAACTGTAAACCAAAGGATATATTAAACCATGTTAGCAAAGAGAATGGACAGTGAACAAAAAAGTCCTGTTCACTTTTGCATTATCTTATACATTTCTTAACTGAAATATAAACAAACATGGGGTGGATAATGGAAATAAAAACTTGGAAGTAGCACTTACATTTTTTCTTTTTCATAATCTATACATTCAACTTTCTCAGAGCCTTCTGGAAGAGGAAGTAAGGTCTTGCCCTTTACTTGACCAACAATCATGAAAATATTACTTTTTAGGCGGTGGACATGACGCATAATGTCTTGTGATACCACATGTGGCCAGCTGTGGTGGTTCTTCTGGTTGCCTAGGATTGGTGCTACTACCTGTAATATAAATCATTAGAGTAGGTAAAGAATAAAGAAAAAACAGCTAAATGGGACTGTGCAGCTCACAGGTTTTAGAGGCTTTCATTAGTCAAACATAACTCTGGATCCAGTCCAGGGCAAAATAACCAAAGAACACCAAGGGCTATTCCATTGCTAGTGTAAAAGGAGGGGAGGGAAGGGCTTCAGTCTATATGACAGTGGGTTTCACAGATCAATGACCTATTTTTCTTGACTACATGGTGTCTTTTGATAATTTCCCCAAAAGTGTCTAGGGCCTTTGCAGAAAGCTATGGCCTGTTTGATTTAGGTCAGAGGTGATCCAATGGGAACATACTTGTTATGCAGCCAAGGAAATATGAAGGGCTGGCATAGAGCTGGAAGGGTCAGCTCTGCAACTGCCTTGGCAGCCTACTGAGCATGGATGGGTCTAGGTGGGTCCTACAGCCCCTTTGCATTCACTGGCCCTGGCAGAACTTCACTCCACTTTGCACAGGCAACATCAACAACCAGGCAAACATGACCTGAGCTGCCCTGTGCAGAAGGGGGAACCTCCCTGAAGGAATCCTGATCAATTCCCCCTGAGACTGTTGGTCCTTCTATTTTCAACATGTTTTGCAATATAGGAAAATCCAGTCATAAAGGACACTTTGTGAAAAACAATTCAGGTGATTAAAGGACAAGTGTAAAACTCAAACCCTCAAATTCACAAAACACAGCACAACACCATTAACCTACATTTTTTCCCTTCTCACACACATTCAGATACTTAAACACCTGCCGTTCATTCCCTTGGCAAATCAACTCACCTTAGTTACAACCACCAGGGTCATACTAAGATACCATTAACTCTTCCCTTTACAGAATGCCAGGAAACAATGTACATGTCTTCTAACCAAAAAAAAATGTCCAAATTCATGTAAGCAGTAGAGATAATAACTAGTTTGACAATGTACATTTGGGATTTGAAATCCAGTGGCTTGATGTCTTAATATAAAAATAACATCTCCAAAACACTAACAGCCACAACTCCCTCTTTATAAACTTCCATCACACCAATTTCTCATTTTAAACTGTAACACAGTAGTGCTCCACGCACTGCGATCAGGGCCCCAGGACCCTATGCCGCCTCTGTCCAGTGATGTATGCCAGGATCAAAGCCCCAGGACCCCACACTGCCTCTACCCGGGCCCGCACGCTGAAATCAGTGTCCTGGGACCTGTGCTGCCTCCGGCAGACTCTATCAGGGCCCAGAACTCTGCATCACCTCTACCCAGCCCTGCATGTGGGGATTGAGATTTGAAGGCCCACATCACTTCCCCTCACCTCTGCATGCCGTGACTGAGCTATGTGCCACCCTGGACACCCGATCTAGCATACAGAGCCATGACCTGTGGAGCTCCATGGGGACATAGATATGTGGGAAGCTCTTGGGGTGGATGAAAAGACACCAGGGGCCAGACCTGACCCATAGGCCAGGACTGAACACCAGTGCTCCAACAGAATACATTAAAAATGAATGTTTTATGTATAACACATTCACTAAGTCAAATATGTGTCAGGAAAAAAATAGTAGTGGCATTTTTTACTTCACAATATTAACAGAAAAGACACTGGTTCTTTCCCTCTAGAAAGGTCAGGAATCAGGGCAGCAGGCAGGATTCAGCCCCTACCTGGCCCTGCTTAAATTAGACCTGATTGCCAATGGCCTAACCACCTCCAGTGGACCCCAGTTAGAAGTATGGGTATGGCTGCTGGTATACAAGCAGCTGAACTCTCAATATTCCTCAGGCTATTTAATAGGACAGATGGATCTGTCTAGCCCCTGGATGCTAGGCATTGCTTGAATCTTTGTTCTTTGCTCTTAGCTTCTAGGTCTGGCTCCTCGTTGCTAGCCCCAGACTCAACCCAGGTCTATAGTTCCTAGACCCTTGCTTTCTGATGGCCATTTCCATGTTCCTGTTAACTGTGAACTTCTGGCTTTAGTTTGGTGACTGCCCATGTCCTCATCCTTTAAAGCTACAGTTCCCTCTCCAGACCTCCTGGTTAGTGACTCCAGTCTGGATCCCTCCTTCCTGTTCCTGAAACCCTTGGCTTGTGACTTTGTGTTGGTGACTGCCAATGTCTTGGCCCTGTGCAGACCTCAGCCTCCTCTTCTGACTCTAGTTTGGAACCTTGCTTTCCTGACCTTGCCGGCTACTAACACCCTGGCTCATAACCAGGGATCCAGGTTTTCCAATTCCCAAGGAAAAATGTAGATTTTCTCCTTTAAAGGAGAAAAAGCCAGGGAACAGTGGGTCTCACCCTGCAAGCTGGCAGACTACGAGGAGGATAAACACTGGTCACAGCAGAGGGGGTGTGTGCACATGGCCAGCAAAACAGTCAGGCAGCATGGTAAAGAGCAGCTTCCACAGCCCCCTGCAGGTACGTCTATGGGGGAAGGGAGGGCATAAGTGATGTGGGAGGGGGTGGACAAAACTGTCATTACTTGGATGTGATGGCCATGGATGTAATGAAGAAAGGCTTTCTAGTTCCTCTGATGGCTTTCAGCTCAAGTACATTTATTTAAAAGATTTTCTCCTGATGCAACCCCATGACCCAAACCTGACAATGGTCTGTGTGTGCTCCACAGCTGAGCCAAAACATGCCCATCACTAAACGAACTGTAGGTTGTGAGGGTTGAAAGGGCATTCACTGGTGAGCGCTGCTTGCAAGCCAGGAAGGCTATGGTGGAACGAAGGTCCATCACTTTCATTCCCGGGCGGCGGTACCTGTCCAAGTCATAGACCAACTGTGCCCGGATTTGCATGCCTCTGGGGTGTAACCTGCCTTGCTGTTTGCACAATCTAACTGACATTCTTGGGTGCTTCTCCAACTTGAGCATCAGACTTTTCACAGTGAGAAATCAATCAATCGCTCTTGGGAGAAGAATGCTCTAAAGGACTGGTGTTCAGTCCAGAAACTTAACTGGGGTCAGCGCTGATTTCTGGTAATTCACTTGGAGGCCAAGAGTCTGGACGAGGTCTAGGACAGGGGAGGCAACCCCCTCCCCCCGCACCTATCGCAGAGGCACCTGGCTTGGCAGGCGCGGCTCGGGGTGTGGGGCCTGGCCGAGCTGCGAGGGTGACCGAAACTGCCTGGCGGAGGCAAGGCGGCTCATGAGGGAGGTCTGCTAGGGAGGTGGCAGGTGCTCCTGCCCAGCCGCCCCCGCGGGACAAACGGGACCTAGCCCGGGCGGGCGGGCAGCCCCACAGCCTGCAGGGGAGGGGCCTGGAGGCGTCTCAGCCCTGCCTAGTCGGAGGGGCCCGCCCCGCGGGAAGCCCCCGCCCGGCCCTCACCTCCTCCAGCAGCGTGGCGCAGTGCTCCAGCAGGGCGGCGGGCAGGTCGCCGCACAGCAGCTGGCCGGGGGCAGGCGGCGCGCTCAGCGGGCCCGGGCTCGTCCGCAGGAAGAAGAGC